AAATAAAACCTAAACCCAACCCAAACCCAATTCAATAAAAACTAAATTTTATCAAACCCAACCCAAATATCCAACCCAAGTACCCAACCCAAATATCCAACCCAAGTACCCAACCCAAATATTCAACCCAACCCAAAATGAAAAGAAATGAATAATTTCAATGAGAAAAGTGCTTCCGGCCAACCCAATCCAACATCCTCCTAAGGCTTACAACTTATAACCCTAATTAATCCCCCTTCCAACCTTAATTTCATAACTTTGGTAATTTCCCCTCCCTTTCTCGGTTTCTCCTCAGTCCTCACCTCACTCACGTCGCAGACAGCCTCACAGCCCTTCACTCACTCTTGGTTTCAGCCGGCCAATCAAGCTCTCAAGTCTCACCTCACCTTCAACCTTCCTCTCCCCTTCTTGCTGCTACAGATCTACTGCAAATCTGCTGTTGGAGCTGCTACAAATATGCTGCTGGAGCTGTTGCAGATCTGCTCCTGGAGCTGCTGTCAAAGCTGTTAGCTGCAGCCTACAGATCTGCTGGAGTTCATCCTGCTGCTTGCTGCACTGTGCCGAGCTTCCTCTCTGCTGCTTGCTGCACTGTGCCGGACTTGCTCTCTGCTTGCTGCACTGTGCCGGACCCTCTCTGCTTGCTACACTGCACCGGACTTGCTCTTTGCTTGCTGCACTGTGCTGGACCCTCTCTGCTTGCTGCACTGCACCGGACTTGCTGCCTGTGCTGGACTTGCTGCCTGTGCCGAACTCTGCTTGCTGCCTGTGCCGGACTCTGCTTGCTGCACTGTGCCGGACCCCTCTCTGCTTGCTGCACTGCACTGGACTTGCTCTCTGCTTGCTGCACTGTGCCGGACTTGCTCTCTGCTTGTTGCCCTGTGCCGGATTCCCTCTCTGCTTGCACTCCCTCTTGGCATCCAACGGTAAGAACAGATCTCTAGTTTGATTATGGTTGAATTAACATAGAGAAAGTTTGGATTTGCTAGAATTTACTAGATTTAATGGCTGCTTATAGTCGTTTATATTAGTGAATTGCCTAGTTAATTTATGCACATATAGCCATACACTGATATATATATATATATATAATATAGAAAAGTTTAAAGTTTATTTTATAATGACTTATTTGATATGAAAATTTATTTTATATTTCAATGGAAAATCATAATTGTTTTTTTTAAATTTATTTTTAGGTGATAAATGTCTAACACACAAGAGCAAAGTGCTGAGGGATCATTGCAAGCTCCAGCTGCTCCACCACCAATTCAAATTCCTAATGAATCAAGTGGTAATTTTATGGCAAGCCCGGGTCCTTTGACAACACCAACACCAACTTCATCTTTTGCTATGCCTCCTAATCCAACATAAAGCAATTTTTTTTCCTTTTTTTTCAATTTCCTCAATTTATTTCCTTAATTCTGTAATTTACATTACATCTTGGGTTGATTTGAAAGCATGATGTTTAGTAGTAATCTTGTAATGCCATTTTTAGGGTTGGGAAAGTTAATTAAGGGTTTTGCGGACAGATTAGCCTTTAGCCTTTAGGGATGTTGCATTTTGAAGTAACGAGTTCTTTTCTCTTTTTCTACTGTCTTGGGTTTATTGTAGTTTTCATAGTCCATTTTGAAGAATTTTGCATGCCAGATGCCCTTCATCATCATGTATTTATACTCTTTAGTTTTTATATTCTTTGTCTTTTTAGTACCATCAGAATAATCCAATACTATTTGGAACAATTTTATTGATTTAAGTATTTTTTAAATTAATTCTTATTTATGTTTGATGCAAAAAATATATACTTTGTTATTAATTGGTGAGGAATAGGATCCCCGCGAGGATCCCCATTCCCCGCGGGGAACGGAGACGGGGGCAAAATCTACCCCCGTCAAAAATCTCCGCGGGGATCCCCGTCCCCGCCATTCGCGGAACGGGGACGGGGAGGCACTCCCCGGCCCCGCGGGCCCCGTTGACATCCCTAAGGGGAAGGATACTTTGGACTTTTGAGCAGTGCATCAAGCAGCCGCCATTGTTGTTTGTTTTGAGCAAGAAAATGACGTTTCTTGTGAAGAACACAAAAATCAAAAGCCCCGCCAGAGAAATCTCACCAACGACGACCGAATAGCCTGTAGAGTCCTCTTTTTATTCTCTCATTAGGGATTTCCACGTCTAGTTTCTCCTTTGGCCCCTCGATTTCGTTTTTGTCCTTAGCCGACCTTATTCCTTCGTTTTCATCTCGGATTTGCACCACCATGTGCGACGGCAGC